TAACAGTTTTAAATCCGTTTCATGTAGTGCGGTGCGGGAAGCATTGCGAAGCACGGCATTGAGCTCTGGGCCCAGGCCCGTAGCCCCATGTGGTAGCTTTTGGCCGGTGCCCTTTTTCGGCCCCAAGCGGCCTCCAAAAGGGCACCGATGTTTGTTGGCCAGGGAACTCTGGCCGGTGACCTCCGACGGCCTCCGGCGACCTCAAAAAGGTCACCGGCGGCCGGGTCGCCAGCAGCAGCGCGAAGCAAGTATTGTACATGCGTGCATGCTTGCGCCTCTCAGCGGAATGCGGTGCGCCTCTACGCCCGCATGAACTTGGGAGGGAGGGATGGAGGTCATCCAAATGCAGTGCGACACTACGTCTGCATGCGGATGCCTCCCAGTAGTTTTGTAGCGCTGCCGATTGGCTCAAGTGCGCGGTGGAGGAATTAGCCTGGCGAAGGACCCAACCACATGCAGTTGTGAATACCGCAATTGTGAATACCATCTTCGCCCGCGCTCCCTATGTGGCCACGGCTTCCCGCTGGATCCCGACATGCTCAGGGACACGTTCGTGGCCGTCTTCGCGGGCGCCGACGACGACAAGGACGGCGTCCCTCTCACCGAGGAGCAGAAGCAGGAGAGGGCCTTGAGAGCCATGAGGGAGGAGGTGGCGTTGCACGTCGACAAGGCGGAGTACGACGCCCAGGCGCGATTGTTGAAGCAGCACAACTATGGGGCCACGATCCTCGTGAGGGATGTGCCGCAGTGGCCCGGGGCCGCCATGCGAACCCTGCTACTGGCGCCTTCGGTGGAGCTCCCTGTTGGGCCACGATCCTCGTGAGGGGTGTGCCGAAATGGCCCGAGGCCGCCATGCGAACCCTGCTGCTGGCGCCTTCGGTGGAGCTCCCTATGAGGCCACGATCCTCGTGAGGGGTGTGCCGAAATGGCCCGAGGCCGCCATGCGAACGCTGCCACTGGCGCCTTCGGTGGAGCTCCCTGTGGGGCCACGATCCTCGAGAGGGGTGTGCCGAAATGGCCCGAGGCCGCCATGCGAACGCTGCCTCTGGGGGCCTTCGGTGGAGCTCCCTTATGGGGCCACGATCCTCGTGAGGGGTGTGCCGAAATGGCCCGAGGCCGCCATGCGAACCCTGCCACTGGCGCCTTCGGTGGAGCTCCCTATGGGGCCACGATCCTCGTGAGGGGTGTGCCGAAATGGCCCGAGGCCGCCATGCGAACGCTGCCACTGGGCCTTCGGTGGAGCTCCCTATGGGGCCACGATCCTCGTGAGGGGTGTGCCGAAATGGCCCGAGGCCGCCATGCGAACGCTGCCACTGGCGCCTTCGGTGGAGCTCCCTATGTGGCCACGATCCTCGTGAGGGGTGTGCCGAAATGGCCCGAGGCCGCCATGCGAACGTTGCCACTGGCGCCTTCGGTGGAGCTCCCTGTGGGGCCACGATCCTCGAGAGGGGTGTGCCGAAATGGCCCGAGGCCGCCATGCGAACGTTGCCACTGGCGCCTTCGGTGGAGCTCCCTGTGGGGCCACAATCCTCGTGAGGGGTATGCCGAAATGGCCCGAGGCCGCCATGCGAGCGCTGCCACTGGCGCCTTCGGTGGAGCTTCCTATGGGGCCACGAAGCGCTGTACTGGGTGGGTGAAACGCAGGGAGGAGGGAGGAGTGACGGGAGGGGGGAGGAGGGGGAGGAGGAGAGGAGAGGAGGAGAACGCGGGGCGACGTCTCTTCAAAACGAAGACCCAACACTACAGGATGCTGTGGAAACAAACATCCCCTCTTCCCGCATGGGGGCTCGCGGCGGCCGACCCTCCTGGGGAGGCCGCGGCAGGGCGTCCCGTAACTGGTCCCTGGAGGTGAGGTTGGCCGAGACTGCCGACTACCTTCTCAGGGCCGTCCTCGGCGTGGCCCCGAGGCCCCATTTGGGGCCTCTCTGGCTGCTCCCAACCTCATGGGAGGAAGTCGTGGCCTATTTGAAGGCCGTCGCAGGGGCCACAAGCGATCCAGAAGCCGACCCAGAGTCGGAAATCAGTGAAGATAACGTCGGAGGACAGTCGAGCCCTATCCAAGGAGAGGGAGGCAAGGAACAGTTGGGAGTGGAGCAAAGAGGAGGACGGCTATGGGAACGGGGGGGGAGGGGGGAGGGCGAGAGGGGCACGTGAGAGTGTGCAGGACTACCGGCCGTGCCGCCGGGTGCGCCCTTGAGGCAACTGCCTTGCGACAAGGGCCAGCGTGCAGGGTCTGAGGATGCACGTGGCCCGGTCTGGCCGCCATGGGGTGGCGGAATATGGAGGGAGGAGAGGGGATGAGGGGGACACGTAAGGGTGTGCAGGACTACCGGCCTTGCCGCCGGTTGCGTCCTTGAGGCTACTGCCTCGCGACTGAAGTAAAGTGCCGACTCTAAAGATTCACACAAACCGCCAGGTAGCGGCGGAAGAGGGAGGGGGGAGAGGGAATCGAGGGGATGCGCGAAAATGTGCAGGACTACTGGCCTTGCCGCCAGGTACGTCCTTGAGGCAACTGCCTCGCGATGAGGGCAATCGTGCAGGATCTGAGGATGCGCGAAACCCCGTCATTGAACACCTGCGTTTGCTTGCACCCAGGCCTTTCCGCCCGGATGCGGCCAACAAGCAGTGATCAGCACGGGAAGATGAAAGCCTGCAGAACCGCAGGCTTTGCCGCCTGGCTTTGCTCTTGAGGCAACTGCCTCGCGACGATCGCAAGAATGGGCAACTGGTGGATGCGCGCATCCCGGTCTCCCCGCCGGTCTACACCCAGAAAATTGCCACCAACCCAAGAGGGCGAAATCTTGCAGGACCGCTGGTTTTGCCGCCAAGCTTTGTCCTTGAGGCAACTGCCTCGCGACGATGGCATGAATGGGCAACCAGTGGATGCACGCATCCCAGTATTCCCGCCAGCCTAATGCCAGAAGGTAGCGATTGCAGGACCGCTGGCTTTGCCGCCTAGCTCTGTCCTTGAGGCAGCTGCCTCGCGACCAACCCAGGAAAATAGTAGCGTGCAGGGACGCTTGTTTTGACGGCAAGTTTGTCCGGAACTAAACAGTCCTCGGCAATCGGTGGCTTCGCGGTGAAGCACCTAGAGGGAAACCCTCGAATGAAGACCTCGAAGCGGACACCTCGAACTCGAAACTGCCTTCTAAGTGGGATCGCGGGGTGGGTGCGTCCATGTTCCGACCACCAATGCGAGCTCCATGTTGCGCGAACTCTGGGTACCCATCGAGATAGTTGACTCGAAGTGAAGATGCCACTCGACGGTCGAACGCGTGCGCAAGAGCCCCCGGGCGGGGGCCGGGCACCTACCGGAACGTCGGACCGAATGAGAGCTTCACCGAGGGCTCCCTCGAGTGCATCCTGCCAAAGGTGGCCCAGAATACGAGCCACCGGCCTAAATATCAGCGTTGAGCCACATAGCGGCACTGAGGAGGGGGGAGGGAGTAGGGATGAGGTTGGGGAGCTCATCCTCGTCCTCCTCGCTCCTGGGCGCGGTTATCTTCATTGTGCACCTCTCTGGTGCCTCTGCCTGCAGGGTGCAATGCGCCACAGAGCCGCCAGCCACAATGAACCCGCCAGCATTCCACTGCTCTCTCCATGTTCCAGCGCGTTGGGCGCACGAAACGTGTGAGAATCCTCCGAATCCTCCGAGATTGAGGGGAGGTAAGAGGAGAGAGGAGAAATTTTGGAGGTCAAGGCTGACGTGGCGCGTGCAGGCGCGGGCCGTGAGACCCGCGCAGCACACGAGGGTGGCATCGCCCTAACGGCTTGGCGTTTAGGGGCTCCCCTTTCCAGCCCGCGCGTGAACCTGATGCAACCATGCCTGCGCGCCTCGCAGAGCAGCGCCGGGCCGTGTCCTGGAGACGCGCGCCTCGTAAAGTGGCATTTAGGACTACCGGCGTCGCCGCCGGGCTGTGCCCTGGAGGTCAGAACCTCCGATGACGTGAAGATAGCTCTGCCAGCATTATCCCTGGGCCATGTCCTGGAGGCACATGCCTCGCGCAACGCAAGGAAATGAACATGCGCAGGACCGCCGGCATTGCCGCCAGGCTGTGTCCGAGAGAGCAAAGCTACCGACGTGTCGATTGACAAGAACAGCGCCGGCATTGTCGCCGCGCCGTGTCCTGGAGGCGCGTGCTTAACTTAAGGAAGGTGTGTGGGACCTCCGGCATTGCCGCCGGGCTGTGTCCTGGAGGTCAAAACCTCCGACGTTGGTTTGGGACCACAATGGCGGCGCCGACAGTCAGCTGGTGTTGACCTCCCTCAGGAGGGCCCTGCCGAGCCTGTCAAAATGGCGAAATCCGACCATGTCGAGGGCTGCCGCGCTCGCAACAGCACTGGGGCCGTCAAGCGGCCGCCGCAGCGGGCCCTCCAAAGCAGAACAGGCGGGGTGCCAGCTGGAGCCAGCTGGATGTGGCCACCTGCATATGCCCGAGCACTACCGCTCTGGTAGTGGACGTCGGTCGCAACACGACCTCCCTGGGGAGAGCCTTGCTTGGCCGGCAGGCGGGGGCCATTAGATCCCACGCCACTGTCGCCCAGGCACGCGGGGAGGGCCTAAGATGCCCTAGGGGGAAAATGGGACCGCGCTTCACCAGATTGTCCCAGTTGGAACACGGTTGCCACAAGGAGAGCACCTCGAGGTAGGTGAAAATCCCGAGATGGAAACCTCGAAGTGAAGACATCGAGGTAAAAACCTCGACGGGAATGAGGAGGAGGAGGAGGCGGGAGGGGGGGAGGGAGGGAGGGAGGGACGCGGGGCGCTGTCTCTTCAGAACGAGGACCCAACACCACAGGATGGTTGGGAATGACAAGTCAGGGGCTATTCCCTGGACTCTCTCCCGAGGCGCGTTCTGCCCAGAATCTCGAAGCGAATCCAATCTTGGCGACGAGAGCCTCACAAGAGGCCCACAAAGGCAACCACGACCCAAGTGTAGCAGTATCGGAACCTCCTAGCCTCTTCCGAATATTTCTTTTCCCAGTGGGCACCCGCCCGCCTGATCCTCCGCGGTATCTCTGGAGGGCCACTGGTCGAGCAGCTGCTTTGCGGCACGCAAGTGCTGCTGGCCCACCTTCTCCTGGATGTCCTGCGGCGTCACGCCATGCGCGGGGGGACGTGGAGGAAGAGCTGAAGGAGATCAGCGAGCCCCGCTGCGAGCAGGCGTTGCTGGCCATGCCTGGTTGGCAGCTGTGCGCAGCAAGGCGTGCAGAGGATGGGCCCCCCACCTTCTCTCGTTGGGAATGACCCTGGAGCGACACGAGTAAGAAGAGTAGACCAAAACGAAAGAAGATGAGGTGATGGCCGAAAGGAAGACTATGTACGCGATGCCTAAGACACCAAGAAATCACAATCAAGGAACCAAGACCGAATAACCAAAGACAAGGGAACCAAGGAACCAAGAAACAACGGCCCAGGAACAAGGGAACCAGTACCAAGGAACTAAACAACCAAGACCAAGGAACAAAGAAACTAAGACCATAGAAACACGGACCAAGTAATCGAAGAACTGAGACAAAGGAACGGAACCAAAAAATTAACGCCAAGACAACACGACACGAAAACCAAGCAACCAAGTGACCAAAACCAGTGAATCCAGGCAAGGACTCAAAAAGAAATACGACCAAGGAGCCCAGGGGAAAGCCTGCACAACCTGGGGGCCGCACCAACGGGTTCTTCAAAAACGCATCGAAAACCCCAGGCAAAGCCTAGCTCCAGAATAAAAACGGCAGAAAAAGACGAAGGAACCACGGAACCAAAACGAAGAAACCAGGTAACCAAGACCGAGGCACCAAGATCAAGAAACCCAGACCAATGAACCAAGGAACCAAGACCAAGGAGTCAAGAAACCCACGGCCAAGGAACCAAGGCCAATGAACCACGACCCAGAACCCAAGGAACCAAGAAACCAAGACCAAGAACCCAGGGCACCAGGGAACCAGGACTAAAGGATCAAGGAAACAAATCCAATGATCCATGGGTAATCCATTTTATCAGGGAACAAGACCAAGGAACCCTGAGGAACCTCGCGACGACCGCCAAACTTTGGAAACAAAGGCACGATGGTTGGTGTTTGGCTGGGGGCCGTCAACAAATAGCTTGGACACGTTGAGGACAAGGTCACGACGTCCGCTGGGGATCTTCGTAATGCAAAAACAACGGCGAAGTTTCGGCGGGCGGAAGGGGTATAGAGGCATGAGCACAGACAGGGCAGAGGAGGGGGGAAGGATAAAGCAACGAGTGGAGTAGGGAAGCGCGAGTGAGCGAGGAAGGGAGACAGGGAGGCTGGCAGGAGTGACGATCGGTGCGAAAAAAGCCTGAGAGGAGCCCACGAGGGAAGCAAGGCGGGTGGGGGGGCAGCAAGAGAGCGAAGAGGGAAGAGGGCTGGCCGAGCCACGAAGTTCCGACGAACGGCAGGGAGGAAAGGTACCCAGCAATTCTCAGAAGCTCGTGCCAGGTGGCCCTGGCAAGAGGTGTCGGACCTCCCCCCTTCTTCTTTGGACGCCCAGAACGGGTACAAAGAAAGCTGGCACAATACCCAACAACAAATGTTGTCAAAAACCGGCAGCGGCCGCTGTGGGGCAGGCGGCTTTTCGTCTTCAGTGAACAACGTCCGCGGCGGCGCGGACAGCGGCTTCTGTCTAACATGAGCAGGAACTGCTGTTGGGATTCGTACCCATTGTTTCGGTACCCATTTGGATCGCCCCCATCTTCACTTGTGGGGAGCAGCCTTGGCATTCCTGGCGCTCAACACACAGCACCCTCGCACGCGCGGAGCAAAGCTCGTCGCGTCTCACAGCTGCGGCACCCGCGGCCCAACGCGACGGATCTGGGAGCAGGAGCCCATCTGCCCGCCCCCCCGCCGATCCTCGCCTCATCTGCCATGTTCCTGTCGCAGGCCCACCGGACGCTCGTCGTTCAAAGGGAACGCTTCCTGCAGTGGACGGGAAAACTTGTAGGGACTTGTGAGGAGGGTCCTCGGAACGGGAGGGTGTGTGGCAACAACGCTGATGCATCATGGGTTTACTCTGGTCTTACCCCTACTTCCCCGTCGCCATGAAGGCTCACGGCCAGGCAGCGCTGGGGCGGCGCCTTGCGGGCTGCTCTGCAGGTACAGAACCACGGTCTCGACTTAGTAATGTGAGTGAAGCTGCATATGTTCGACGAGGCGGACGATAGGACGGCCGCGGAACATGATATCGTCGCGGCGCAACTGGCGCGGAACAAGTGCCTAAAACAAATACTTGCACCTGGGCGGTCGATTCTAACCCTGCCAGAACTTTTTGAGTGTAGAATAGGGTCGACGCTGCCCGAATGCCATCTGAACGCTGAGAAAACATGTTTTTGTTTGAGCGATTGGAAATTCAATAGTCACGACCGGTACCATCAGAGCCTGCAGGACATTCTCTACCAGGAACGCCTTCACTGTGAAAAAAGGTGACACACTTCCCTGAGAGTTCGAACTTACTCGGCCTACCGTCACGAGCGGGGTAAATGAAGGTCCGCGAGCTCTTCTGAGTCCAGCGGAACATCTCTCCCAATACCAAGTGGCCCAATTGCAGTATCGCGTGAATTCGAAAAGTGATCCTTCGCCTTGTCGAATGCTTTGTTGAGCGCAGCCCCCTGGGGTGAGGGCATCGCAGGCCTCCAGGCGGCTGCTATGTACTGTCCACCAAAACCCAAGGCAGCACTTGATCGCGCCAGCGCTTGCGTGGCTCAGCGGGCCCTTGTCGTGGACACGCGTCCTCGTGAGCAAGAGGTTTGTTCATACGTGCACCAGACAGGCAAAATGTTGAAACCCGGTGCCGTCACATCTCTTTGATACCCCCATGTAACCATATGGCAATCTCCGCCACAGACATGAAACCCTCGGTTTACCACTGATTTGGCGTATCCGGAATTGGGGTCAGCTCCTCTTGTTCCTTCGAGCACTCCGTATGATCTCCTGCTGCGTCTTCAATGCTTTCGAACCACCCACACAAGACATCCGTAGCACCTTGGCTCAACCCTCCAGCGTCTCCACTAAACATTATCCTTCTCCTCCTTGTGCTACCCCTCCTCCATTCGGGCCACGAGGACGCCAACCATGAACCTACACAAGCAATGGCGAGACCAAATCTGAGCCGAGCCCAGGATCGGTGTAGCATGGTTTCCTAGCTTGGCCAGGAAGGCGTACATACCGATCCTAGCCTCAAGAAGAGCCTGGCCCGTCCGCATCGGTGTAAGTGCACTGGTCACGAAGTGTCGCCGAACTGTCTTGTGATTGACGGCCACGGGGGTCCGAAGACGGCGAAACGCCTCCAGGACCCGATTCCGCCAGGTCCCCTTCCCAACTCCCTCATTTGGGTGCGGCGCGGGTCCCGCTTCTTCTGGCTCAGGGCCGCCGCTGCTCCGACGTGTATTACCTGTGTGCCGTGCGCAGGCGCCCGCGGGCCGAGGAGACCTATCAGGAGAAGAGTAGGAGGAGGTGGAGAGGGAGGAGGAATAATATATGTATAAGCCCAGCATACCACAACGATGCAGCAACGCACTCTCCCGTCCCAAAGGCCGTCCTGACAACAAGTGCCTACCACAATCTTATTTCGGGAAGCGCCCAAAAACGGCTCGGGGAGGAAAAGCCGCCCCCTTGGAGTGAGTCCAGACCTCCGTGGGTCGCGGCACAAGAGAGCTCCTACTCGCCCAGCAAGCGGAACACCTGCAAACGTGGCCGAATCTCAGGCTACGGAAACAGGCTGCACCACGCTGGTCCCGGGCAGGCTGCGCTGCCCGGCGGAAAGGGGGCGAGGACGGGAGAAACCGGCAGACGACGACGGACGCCCAGGCGGGAGGCCAGGGCCGGCGTGGCGAGCGGGCAGGCAGAAGAGGAGCCAGGCGGCACAGCAGACAGGGAGCAATAGGAACGGAAAGGGAGGGAAGCAGGAGGAGGAGGAGGAGGAGGAGGAGGAGGAGGAGGAGGAGGAGGAGGAGGAGGAGGAGGGGAGGACAAGGAGGTCAAGGAGGAGGGAAAGCAGCGACCGCAAGCAGACAGGCTGGGCCAGGGGCCGGGAGAGAAGAGCCACCCGTGACGAGGCTACGGACCCTATACGGCGGCGACCTGGGCGGGGTGGCTGCCCGAGCCCAGCACGAAGCGGTTTGGTGGGGACTGCCCTCTGCGGGATCCATCCACCGCCCCGCCGAGGAAGGGCCGGACGGCGCGCGGGAGGGTCGCCGGCGCGACGTTGCCGACAGGGCGCGGGGGGGCGCCCGTGCTGCCCAGCAAGGGCGGGGGGGGGTGGGCGGGGGGCGCTAGACAGCGCACCTCCCCGCCCCTCCAGACTGGGCCTGGAGGCGCCGCGACGCCGCCTGCGCGTTCTCCCTGTGCAGGGAGACGGAAAGTCGCTGGGCGTGTTGGTCCGACGCCAATGCGGCGTCTTCCCCGGTGGCGTCAGCCACCCGCTTGGCCAGGGCCCCGAAGGCCCTGCGTGCCTCGCGGCCCCACCCGCCGCCGTGGGCTTCCACTACCATGGGGAGGAAGGTGAAGCATGTGCCGCGCAGAGCAGGGCGGCGGCCGTTGTCGTCCACCTGGGCTCCGCCCTGCTCGCCCCCGGGGATGGCCTCCCCGGCGGGGCGCGGGGGTAGCAGCCACGGGCGCTCCAACTCTGCCCCGGCGTGGCCAGCGGCCAAGGCATCGAAGAAGGCCTGGTTGCGCGGGGCGTTGTGGCGTTTGGCCCGGTCGCCGCGGCAGGCGTAAACCAGGGCGCGGTCGCAGAAGCCGTCCATTACCTCGCCACAGGCTGGGCAGAAGCACTCCTCCTGCAGGAGCTGGACTCGCAGCCGCCTCTGCAGGCCGACCTGCATGAGGCCGCGCAGGAAGGCGGCGCCGGTGACCTCGCAGGGCGGCGCCTGGAGCCACGCGGCCGCGCCCGGGGCTTCCACCGGACCTATAGAAGTGCGCCTTGCCGGCCAAGAAGGAGCCCGCCAGAAGCCCGTCGAGCGAGGCGCTGTCCACCGCGTCGGAGAGGGCCTTCTGGTTGCCGTGCTGCGCGCGGTCGAACACCACCTGGTCGGCGCCCCGCGCGACTGCGCTGTGGGCCTGCACGCAGCCGCCAGGCTACCTCCGTCACGGCCGGGGTCGTTGGTGTAGCCGGGGTAGAGCTGCCAACAGAGGTCGGTGCTCTTCGCTCTGGATGCGATGTAGGCGGCGGCGGCGTGCTTCGCGGCAGCGCGCAGGCCAAGCCCCCCCTTGCTGACCTTGAGCTGAGCCTGCTGCTTAGAAGCGTCGGCGGGCGAGCAGCCGCTCAGTTGCTCAAGGCAGGCCCGGACAGCGTCGTCCATGGCCAGTGGGCGGCACCACGCGCGCGAAGTAGCCCAGCTTGCAGAAGGAGGCGCACTGGCGCAGGGGGCGCAGCGCGACCCACGCGTTTTCGAGCCCCCCCAAAGCTTCCAGCAAGGCGGTGGCGCTCGCGACCCGCTGCTTGGCGTGCTCCGCGCAGAAGTCCGCGTCTCTCACTGGCGCGCCGAGCAGCTCGAAGCTGCGATCGGTGCGGAGGCGGAAGCCCAGCGGGAAGCCGTCCAGAGACACGTCGGAGGCGTCTCCGCCAGTGGGGGCCACCTCACACTTGCCCGGGCCGGTGCTGAGCTGGAGGCCCACCGCGGCAAGGTTGGCCACGAGCAAGTGCACGAGGCGCGCGACGGCCGGCGCGTCGCCCGCCGAGGGCGGCCTCGGCGGCGCGCTGCAGTGCTAGGGAGAACACTAGAGGCCCCAGGGGGTCGCCCTGCTGCACCGCGCACTCGGAGCGGACTGTCTGCTTGCCCAGGAAGAGAGTTGACGGGCGGGAGTAGCGCCAGTCAGCCCAAGGTGCCAGCCTGGGAAACTCTTCGTGGACCGCGCGGAGCAGAGCCTGCCTGTCCAGGGCGTTGAAGGCGCTAGACAAGTCCAGCTTCGCAAACACCTTCCCCCGGTCCCCGAGGTGGCGGGTCCACCACTGGCGCGCGACGTGCACCGCCGCCTCGGCGCCGCCAGGGACCGCGACGCCGATCTGGAGGGGAGCCAGTCGGTCGCGCGCGGCGTCGGCAACCTCGTGGCAGAGGCGCTTACCGACGAGGCGCCGGAGCACCTCCCCGAGGGCGACAGGGCGCAGGCCTCCGTCACTCTTCGGTAGGGCCACCAGAGAGGCGCCAGCGAAGTACTCGGACACGGCCGGCGGGGCCTGCCCCCTGGCGCAGAGGTTGACAAGGTTCTGGAGCTGGTCGGCGACCTCGCCCCTGTGGGCCACGTTGAGCAGTGGTTCTTTGATGTGTTGGGGTCGGAGGCCCGTTGGCCTGGCAGCTGGGCCCCAGGGGAAAGCCCGCACCTCCCTCCGGACCACGTCCCCGTCCACCTGCAGGGCAGCAGCCGCGTGGACAGCCGGAAAGCTGGCGGGGTCCACAGCTCGGCGGCTGCGCGGGTGCTTCCGGCCCATTTGGTCGACGACGTCGGGGGTGACCTCCACGGGCGGCTCGCTGGTCAGAGCCGAGCAGCTCTTGGAGTGCTGGGCTTCTGCTGCGAGCTGCACGCGCCTCTCTGCTCGCTGGGAGCCTTCCGAAGCGGGCTTGGCAGCGCGATCGCGCCTCGACAGCCTCGGGCCACAGGGAAGCCCTCCTGCTGCCTCGGCCGCCACGGGTGTGAGGGCGCAGGACGCATTTCGGGAGCATCGCAAGCTCAATCCACACAGCCTCGGCGTTGTTGTGCGCGGTCTGCTGGGCCACCGTCTGCACTAAGCGCCGTGCCCAAAGGTCCCGGGCGCCCTTCGGGACGTAGCGCTAGGTGGTGAAGCGCTTGGAGAAAGCTTCCTGGAGAGAGGGGAGACCCGCGGGCTCGCCGTGAGAATGGCCGCCGGCGGCGGGAGCGGCGGCTGCCCCGGCTGCGGCCGCGCGCGCGGCAGGGCGGCAACGCGGGCAGATGCCGCCGAAACGCGTCGACAAGAACCGCTGGCAGACCGAGCATTGCTCCAACCGGTGGTCTTGCAAGTACTCGGGCGGGACTGGTGGCAGCCAGGGGAATCGCCCGGCGGCGTGCTCGTTCAGGTGCGGGCGCATGCTTTGGTGGCCCCCCCCAGCCAGCGGAGGCCGCGGCGTCGCCGCGCGGGCACCCAGGGACCGGGCAGTGCACCCGGACGCGGGCACGAACCCTGCGCTGGTGGGCAGGATCGGGCGCCAGGGGAGGGGGGGCAGGTGGCTCTTGCCCGGCTGGCGGCGCCGCCTGTGGAGCCTCGGACGGCGGGGCGCCCCCCCGAGAGCGCTGGCCGGGGGGCGGTAGGCAGCCTCGGCCCGGCGCTGTTCGGCGGCCGCGCTGTTCGTCCAAGGGGACCCCCGCAGCATCAGGGTCGAGATCCAACCCGCCGATTCCCTCGACCAGGAGCGGTTCACCCCCATCAGTCCGGACGCGCCTGAGTTGCCGCCCAGGATCGAGGGAGGGAGGGCCATAAGAAAGAAGCGCCAGAAGAGGGACTAGGGACTTGGCATTGAAGACTGGGGCATAGGCTCAAGATGAAATAGGTGCAAACAATAGTAAACCATGAACCGTCCTGCTGTGCAATGTTTCCGATGCCCTGCCAAAGCTAACACCAGCCCAAATGACTGAGGAGGGAGAAGGGGAAAAGGGACAGGAGGAGGATTGCGGAAGAGGACATAAGGATAATTGGCAGGAGGAGGGTGGAAGAAGAGGACAGGGGAATAATGGCGAAGGGGCAAGAGGAGACAGGAGAGGGAGGTAGGAGGAAGGCGGGGAGAGGCGGAGAAGAAGGGAATCCCGCCACAGAAACCTACCCCATCAGAATGAGGGGGCCGAATGGTCATTCACTGTCACTGGGTGCGTGGCTGAAGTGGGCTTCCGCGGTGGGATTGTTGCTGTTGTTGTTGTTGTTGTTGTTGTTGTTGTTGTTGTTGTTGAACATTATTACTTCTAAAGAATAATTATTGTTGGGGCCCCTGGTGCACGACCCCCCCGCCGCGCCTAGGCCGCAGCCTCATTTTCATCATTTTCGTGAGGAAGTCTCAGGCAAAACGGGGGAGTCCGGATCCGGTTGTGTTGTTACGATCGGTTTTCCCTGGCAAAAAATGAGCTAAAGTGGACATTTCTTGTTCTAACACAACCAAACTTCAAGAATCCCTTGCAAAAAATAAGGTGAAGTGGACATTCGCGCGCGCAAGACGAAATCCTTCCAAAACCTTAGTTTTCGTAGCGATTTTAACATAAAAACATCAAAAAACCAATGGTTTTTCAAAAAAATGTCAAAATTTCATCCCGCGCGCTCTTGCGGATTCGTAGGAAACCCAACACTTTTTAAACATTTCTGTCAAACGGGCTTTTGCGAGCAACTTTTTCGAACTTCTGCAACAACGGTTGCGCACCTGCCAGGGCCATCATCCCTGTCAAATAATACCATGCGGGACACATTCGTTTTTTCTTCGCGCGCGCACGCCGTCGTCGTCGGCCGCGGGGCCCTGAATAGTAGCCACGGTCGTCCGCATGCCACGAAGTGAAGTGTCCGAACGTCATAGGGCGGGAAGCTGGGTGTGGGTGGTGGCGAAGAGTCGTTTGGAAATTTGGTAGAGCTTGAACCGGCCCCCCCACAAAGTGGGGGTATTGCCCGCCTCCTATGAAAACCCTGGCACTGGTGAGAACGGAGTGTCCCCACGTGCTAGTAATTGTTGTTGTTGTTGTTGATATTATTGTTGTCGTCGTCCCGCCCGCGACCCGGCCCGCGACCCCGCCCGCAACCCACCCGCGACGCACCCGCGACCCAACGGCGGTCCACCCGCGAACCACCCGCGACCCATCCCGCGACCCACCCGCGCCCCACCCGCGACCCACCCGCGACCCACCTCGCGACCCGCCCGCGACCCGCCCGCGACCCGCCCGCGACCCGCCCGCGATTCACCCGCGACACACGCGCGACCCACCCGCGACCCATGCGCGACCTACCCGCGACCCACACGCATCCCACCCGCGACCCCTCGACCCACCCGCGACTCGCCCGCGACCCACCCGACCCACCCCGCGCCCGCACCCTCACTCTTATCCGCAACTGCGGGGTGTTCATACTTAATCGATGGGTGTGAGATCGTATGTATTTTCGAATACCTGGAGACCGTTTCAAGTTTGGGCTCACTTGGGCGATCTGGAGGTCCTGCGGAGGCTTCCTGGTGGCCTCGCGGGGCCAATTTAGAGTCATCGTGGGAGTCCCATCGGGCCCTCTCGGGCTCTCTTGGAAGCCCTCGTACGTCGACGTCCTGGAGCCCTCCTACGTCGACGTCCTGGGTTGGGCACTGTGAGGCCATGCTGGGGATCCCTCGATTAGAGACCTCCCAAGTGGGGTCAGAGCCTTTAGGGTCTGGGGATCGCGCCGCATCGTCGACACATTACCGATGCATCGGCGACGGCGGCGATGCGTCGGCGACGTCGGCGTGGAGAAAATCGGACCCCACATCAAGCCGGTTCGCCGATGCATCGGCGACGCGGAGAGATCCTCCGACCCAATCTTCGATGACCCCATCCGAGAGGCCCAGGTGAAGCCCTCGGTAATCAAGAGGGCCCATGGGATGCCTGGGGAGCGGAGAGGTAACTTCATGTGGGTTTGGGTGGCCCTGTGGGCCAGCCAGGCCCCTGAGTCTGGGCAGCGAGTGCTCCTCACCATGAGTCACCTACACGTAAGGATGACCCTTCGCTGGGGTGACCGTCGGTGCTTGCCCCAAGGGGGTCAGGTGATTTTTCTGTTGGAGTTAGCTTGACCTCGCGTCGGCACCCATGTCGCTGGATTGCGCTCGCATCCGAGCGCGACAGGGTTGCCCCCCCCCCTCCTCAATCGACAGCAACGCATACGCGGCGGACCCTACAGTGTGCAATGGCTTCCCTGGGGGGGGGCCAGTCGACCAGACGGCGCGTTGTCCGCCCCAGGACCAGTCCCGAATCCCAACCCTGAGGGAAACGCCGGTCCTGAGGTTTTTTTGCCATTTCCGGGCTCTCGGAGCCCCCCCTCGGTCCCAGGGCCGTCAGAGCACGACTCGGAATGAAGAGCTGGTCCTGGGGGAAGGCCCCCTGTTTCCTTCGGGACCCGCTTGCTCCATGCTGAGTGACATGAGTGGTGCCTCGTGGGAAAGAGCCTCAGGGACGACCCCGAGAGAGCGCAGCGACTGCTCGAACACTCCTCGACCGCCGTGGGCATGATGCCAGCGCGGGCCCACAACATGTGCCAGGCGGTGCAGTGCAGTGCAGTGCAGTGCAGAGCAGCGCCAAGCGGTCCAAAGCAGCACAAAGCAACGCAACGCGAAGCCACTCCAAGCGATGAGTTGCGACTCGAAACGGTGTAACGCATTGCAAAGTTATGCGAACGATTCGAAGTGACACAGAGACGTGCACTCAATGTGAAGTAACGAAGGTCAAAGCAACATTCGGGGCGGCAACGGGACTGACACGATACGGCAGCGGGTTGGCAACGGGGCCGCAACGGGGTGGGCAAGAGCCGAACAGCGGGAGCACGCAGGCAGTTCCATGGGACCCCAGTTGCAAACCCTTTCTGCAATCACTGTTTGGGGAACAACTTGAGACATCCTTAGTCGAATCCGAACTCATCTTAGCACGTGCCTGCTTCGGATCCTGACTCAATTCCCCACACGATGACAATATGCCGAGATTCCCTAGGAGTCCTGTCGACAAGATGCTGTTGGCATTCTCGATACGGGCATCCAATTCACCAACACATGTTCTGTGCAAGCCACCAGACCCAGGTCAGCAGTCCCATGGATGCAGGAGCGGGAGCAATTTCGAATTCGAAAGTCCCGAGTCTGGGCAAGGTTGAAACGTTTCTGACGAGGCTGAAACGAGCTACTCTTGCCAGCTGGTGCTCGCAGGCCAATGACTGCATCGCTGTCACAGCGCATCCGCCGTCACACATTGGCCATAAAAGTGTCGAAGGGGCCGTCGAACCTGCCTCACACATCGAAAGATTCCGCAGTCTTTCGCCCAAGAGAAAAAAAAAGGAATTTGGCGGCGCCCACCCCGTCTAGCAGCACGGCGATGGCTTCCATCTTCTGCACCATCAGGACGTCGCCTCCCTTTAAGAGCTTCTCGTCCATGGCGTCCTGAAGCCAAAGGCGGGAACGCTGTGGGAAGCGAGAGCTAACCAGCCACGAGCTCTCCGACCCTTAAGATTAACAACAAGCCCAAGGGCGATGTCAATCTGATGGGTGCGCCCTCAAAAACTGCGGGAACCCTCAAGGTCGGCATCGAAATAGGTGCTGCCACTCATAGGGATACGGATGCGTTTTTACCCTGGCGAAGAACAAGGAAATATTCACGGGTGCTGGACACGGGGGGGGGGGCAGTACCTCCTGCAGCCAAGTAGACGCTCTCCGAGCTCCGTGGGACAGATATGACAGGGGGAAGGCGACCCCGACGAAACAAGGGTGACTGGGCGGTCGAACCGCCACTGTGAAAGGTCTTGGTCATCATGCTGGGGGAGAGAAGCAAAGACTGCACAACATCCGAGAAACCTGGACAAAGAGGACAACGAGACTGTTCTTCATGCCAAAACGTAAGATGCCGTTGGTGACCGCCGACGCGGGTCGGAGTAAGGTTTTTGCGCTGCCTTTGGGAAACATCCATACAGAAACCCTCCTGCGGCGGCGACACACACACACATCATGTACGTGCGAAGACGACTACGGCAAGCCCGCCACCCCAGGCCACACAGAACCTTAATCGTCAGCGACTGAACAAAACGAAACCAGCGTGCCCAGGTTAAACTAACACGTGTGTGGATCATTGGTGTGCCCTAAAAGCGATGCGGTTGCTTCAAACGGGGCAGGAATGAGGTGACGGTGGCGGCGCCGGGGGCCCTCTGCGCATGGCGCCTGCCATTCCCAAGAACTTGATTCCCCAGGGTGGGTGTGGGTGGGTGATATATATATATACACATACATACATACATGTATGTATATATATGAAGCACATAGTACACATTTGTACATGTACATGACATAGTCATACTACTACATATCTATAGAATACAACACACCGAGCGCCTGAGCCCAAATGGCAACAAACGTCGGGTAGGAAAGAGGATGCACACTCGCGTCGGCCAACTGGGGCGTGTCCTCGATGAGCCCGAAAGGCGGTGCAATGACGGAAAAAAGGGAAGGGCCAGGTGACGGCGATTCCCCTTTTCTGGGCGGCGGTGCCGGGGGCCCTGTGCGCAGGGTGCCTGCGTCTTCCAGGGGCTCGATGCCCCATCTCTGCGATTGGAGCGATTCATGAGCAGCGGCGGGTGGGGCTTGGAGGAGCACAGAGGAGAGAGGCGAAAACAGCGCCCCCCTCACTCCGGACACTGCTGGTGTCTTGGGGGCCCCCGCCCTCTCCCCACGCCCCTGCTCCACCCCTATTTTGCGATGCCGCCCCCCCTGCGCGCCGCTCGCACCCGCGCAAATGCCGAAGGCGCGCAGAAAGGCGGCACAAGGCCCCCCCCCCCAAGCCTTTGGGGCAGGAGGTGGTCGCAGGGTTCGGGAATGCGGGGTCGAGGCGGGCGCGGTGAAGTTTGAGCCGTCCGCAATTGCCTCGTGCTGGGCCCGCGGCCTGACAGGTCGCGCGGGGCCCCGCGCGCCGCTGCCGCCGCCTCCAGCACCGCCCGCGCGGCGTCGTCAACGACGTGTTGGGTGATGCTGCCACCGGGGCGTCAGGCGCGCGCGCGCCCGCGGCCCGTCTGGCCGCGCCCCGCCGCGGGCGCCGCGCTCTTGGCAACCGCCCTCTGTTCGACGCTCGACTCGCGCAGTTCCTGGGGGGCCTGCGCCGGCCCATCGAACGCGCGCCGCTTCAGGCCTGCGAGAGTTCCGTGGATCCTGAGGGGCTCGTCGAAGTCCGACGTATTCACGTTGCTGAGATCGTCCGCCTCCTGGTTCCCCCCGCGCGGCTGCCGTCAGACCGCTCGGTCGACGCGGCCTTGCGCGCCGCGCAGGCGCCCCGAAGAATTGCGACTTGTTTCGCGCAGAGGACCGCGCCGGGGAGCTCGAGCGCCGCTATGGCCCCGTTCGGGTCGTTTGCCGGGCAACTATTCCTTGCCCATATCGCGCTCATTCCGGCGGGCCCTGCCGCCGTTCGGCTGACCTGCCCTGCCGCCTGTCTAGCAGCGCCCCCCCTTCCGCCATTGCATCCCGGCGGAAGTGCCCGGAGCTCAGTGATGGGCAACTCCAATATTTGTCAATTTACCAATCGTTTGCCGATCCACGTGCGCGCGAGCCTGGTCGCCCACGGCGGGGGCACCTCCTTCCCGTCGCGCCCTGCGACGCTGGCGAGCCAGGCGCGCGCCGGCCCCGGCAGCGGCCCATCCGTCGCCGGGTTCAACGCCGCGAAGCCTGGGCGCCACAGGCCCGAGGCCAGCTCGCCGACGTGGCCGCCGCGCTCGACCATCTCATTGCGTCGGGCTGCTGCCCGCGCCGCCCTCGCCCCCCGAAAGACTACGGCGCGCGCGGTGTAGTCGCGATCGAGAGATCCAGTCTACCCCGGGCCCCCCCGCGCCTCGACCCCCTAAGCCGGGAGGCCGGGGGCGCCGAGCAAGACGACCGTGGGGAGATTTGCCGGCCGCCCTCGTTTCCCTGCGCCGATCGCACCCCGGTCGTCGGCGCCGGTGAATTGTTCTCCTGCCGCCCATCTGCCCGCGGGCGAATTTCGCTCGTTGAGCGCGCGGCCGCGGGGGCGGGGCGACGCGCCAGCCCGCGAGCGGGGCCCCTGCCCCGATGGGCCGCGCGGGGCCCTTCTGCCGCTCGCGACCGCGCCAACTTGAGGCTTCCGCTCTTCCTGCGTCTCTGGCCCGCGGCGGCCCCCGCGAGTCGGCGGCGGGGCGGCGCTTCCGAGCGAGAGGGGGCCCCCGCCTTCGCGCGTGCCTTGCGGCGGCGGTGCCTCGGCGATCGCTCGGCTGGGCGCCCCGCTGGGCCGCGCCGCGGCGTCCGTCTCGCTGCCTCTTCGCCGCCCCCCCTTGCCGCGCGGGCGGCCGCCGCGCCTCGCCGCGCCGCGGCCTCCGTCGAGCCGAGGCCCTCGGCCGCCGTCGCCGCCCGATGGGGGCCCAGCGCGGGCCGTGGGCGCGGCGGCCGCGGAGCGCCGCGCCGCCCTCAGCGGCCGCCCCGGCTGCTCCAGCGCCGCGGGGGGGGGGCGCCCGCCGGTCGCGGGGGCCCGGGGCCGCCCGCGCATCAGGCGGCCGCGCGGCGCGCGGCGGCTCTCCACCTCGACCCCGCTGCGAGCGAGCGAGAATGGAAAAAAGCGCAGGCCCGAGGGCCTGCGCGAGGGCGCCCATTGAGAGGGCGCCCCCCCGCCGCCCCGCGCGCGGCGGATAGGGGGCGGCGCGCGAACGGGCGGGCGCCTTCGCCCGGGGCGCCCGCCGGGGTCGATGGCTCGGGCCCGACCTGGAAGCGCGCGGGCACCTGCGAGCGAGGGCCCCCGGCCAGGGTCGCCCCGCAATCTCGACCTCGCGACGATCCGACGGGGGCGGGGTGCCCGATCGGCCCCGAATCCCGTCCCCCGCGGGGCCCATCCTGCGGCAAAGGCGCGCGCCCCCCGTCGAGGGCCCCTCCCCGCCCGCGGCGGACGGGGGGCCGCGCGCGGACTGGCGCCGTCGAGGCGGGGAGATTGTCTAACCGTGCTATTCGTCACCTAGCTCGCGAACACTCGGCACCTAGGATGCTACTAGTGCTGGCTGGTCCCGAAGTGAGGCGACTAAACATAAGCGTCGCCTCCTGGAGCCCTGCGCCTCCTCCTCCTTCCCCTGGCTAGTTTACTCTCCCCCGATGACATGTCTCTTCTACGTTTTTCTTCGCAGTTCGACGCGGCAGCTCATCGCGCGCCGAGCTTCCAATTTCTTACGAATGTAGCCCCAGACTAAGAACAGGCATCACGTCGTCGCCCATCGCGCGACGACGGCGCCCCTCGAAGGCTGACTTGACGCTTAGGCTAGCCCCACGCGCGCGCCACTATCTGGAGGAGGGGCCTGCGGCTCCTCTGGCCTCCTCCGCCCCCTCGGTTTCCCATAATCAACGAGTCGCCAGCAACTCCAGCTTGCTGGAGATGAAAGCCTTTTGCAAAACCTGCTGCTCCGCGTTTCGCATCGCCTCTCGCTGATTCTGATTCGCCCTGCCATCCAGCTCCACAATCAACTTGCCTTTCCGAGCTTAAACTTTAGCGCCAGGCACGCCCCGTCTGAGCTCCATCCAGCGCGCGAAGTCTGGCCCAGAGTTTTAGACGCGCTTGGTTTCCATCGCCCTCTGCCACGCAAGTCGATTATTAGCGCCTTCGCCAGCCTCCTGCTGTCGATTAAAATCAGCGCTTTCGTTGTCTCCCAAGCGTCGCACCATCGCATCGCGTGGGCCGAAACCTCACAGGCGCCCCAGGGCCGCCCAGAGGTCCTACACGCGGCAACAGGATGCAGGCTGACAAACCAGAGCTTCCGCCGCCGTTCGTTTCTCCCCGACTCACCGGCCGACGCGGCGAGTGTCTAGAGGACGCGTTGCCCCCGCCCCTCCAGCACGGGACCCTCGGGGATTTATATGCCCTCGCTTCTCCAGCACGAGCCTCGAGGATTCCTCGGATGAGCCCCGCCTCCGAGACTCCTCGTCCGCGCCCCAAGATTGGCGCCTTGGTTTCTGGCCATCGCGGCGGCCGAACTGGGCGACGCTAGGAGAAGACCGACGGGCGGGCTCGAGCCGAAATATCTTGGTCGGAGGCGACGTGGGGCGACCACCCCACATGTTCGATATCCAGATTCCATGCGCAGAACTCGAGAACTTGAACTTGGTTCGTTCGTTGTCCGCCTCTCCGTGCTTAGGCCCCCCGGCTCCGTCGCGCGGGCGGTGGCGCGGGGCCTTCGGCGGAGCTCCCACTGGGGCCCCGAAACGCGTGAGGGGTGTGCCAAATTGGCGTGCGTGGCGCACGCTGGCGGCGGCCATTAGTGGGCCTTCGAAACGCGTGAGGGGTGTGCCATATAAGTTGGGCGTGCGTGACGCATGCGGGCGGTGAAATGGTGACCTTCTTCGGTGGAGCCCTCTATGAGCTATGAAACATGCGAGGGTGGTGTGCCTAATTCTTGGGTGTGCCTGTGTCG